GTCACAGTCAGAGAAACAGGACTACACTGGAAAACAGGCCAAGCTCCAACATCTAGAAACAAAGGTGTTGATGGCAGCAGCACAACTTTGGCAACAATATTCTATCTATCTTCAATTTTGATTAAAAATAAATAGTTTGGTGTAATTATATCCTATGGTATATCAGCACATTTATTACACTAGTAATTGTGCTGGGCAGCGTTCACACAGCAAGCAGCAAGAGCAGCAAACATGCATGTTCTGCTTCATTTTTGCTGCTCGTTCAAGTTTAGTTCTGATGGTAAAGTGGGTCTGATGTGCGGTGGGCGGAGCTACCCTATCCTTTCTTTGCCTGGAACAATGGCAGCTAGATTTGCTGTAATCAGTGGGTAAAAAGTCGTTTTAATATGTTTTTCAGTGAGAAATTAATTATTTCTCTGTGGGAGCCGCTCAGACCCCCACATACCGGCGGTGCGCTGTCAGTAGGAATCCCATTCAACAGCAGCCTATGGCCCGGTCGTCTCTTTGCGGTTTGCCGCGGCGGCTGGAAGGTGTTTTTCATGTATGTAATCTTAACTGCAGGCGCCAGAATAATAAAATAAACATGCTTTGTGGGCAGATTTCAGCATTTTAAGTTAATTTAGGCTATCAGGAAAAAGACCAATGAGTTGGAGGCATATGGAAAATTACTTTTGAGGAGATTCGGATGTCCTGTACGCAGGGATTGTTGCTGGAAAAAGCAGCGGTGGAGGATTATGTTTCTCTGTGAATCAAAGTTACTGTAACATTTATACTCGTCCAAGTTTACCAGTTTTATCATGAAATTCTTAAAAAAATAAAACCAGATGTTGTAGTTAATTATTTCCTTAATCAAAGGTAAACGAAGGTTGGTCAAATGATGGTCAATTTGCTCAGTTATTAGGCTTTATTAAAGGTTTACATTTGAGACATTTTGGACCATGTTATATAGGCTATGCAAACACTACAAGCTACTGGAATAAATACAGAATACAGGAAATAAACAGTAAATGTAACAGATTTAGATGAGTCCTTAGGATAGAGTCTTTAATTATATTCAGTTCATTTACTCAGCTGTTGTGATGCACTGAGGAAACGGCCATCCGATTAGCAGCATAGATGATCTATTGCAAACAGATGGGTAGCAGTAGTCTTTGGTAAACAGTCCAATCAATCAAGGTTCACTGAATCCCATGATAAACAATTACCAATAAACACAAAACATTTGATATGACAGCATTGAGATGTGTATGGAAATGAGTGGCGTCAGTTCAAGTTCAAGTCAAGGCAACCACTAGGTAATAGTGATGCACAATATTGGGATTTTGGCCGATATCCGATATTTTAAAACTCATGTAGCC